GTCTCAAAGGAATATGGTATAGGTAGTTTGAAAGCCTTCCACCCCAGAGACTACTCTGCAGTGAATATATGCCTCATACTCTCCCACAAACACTGGTCACTGCAGAAAATGCATTGTTTTGCTGCAACAGGGTTTTATTTCAGACCTTAGTTAAAATATGGGCAATGCTTTATCCATGGGAGAAAAATGTGGTGGAATAATGATGTCTGTCTGGTGAGGTACGATCTGTATTCTAACTTGTCCCTTACTTCCTCTATCACATTTAAGAGAATTTCATGATGTTTTAACACCATTTTTCCACACATACTAAGTAGGATGGTTTGAAAGTGCTGGATAGCTTCCAGAGTTATCAAGAGTTTTCTCCCAGCTACATCTTGGGACTTCTGTACTCCCTACAGCATCAAAGGGAATGATTTCTAGACAATCTCACAGCTCGATAGAAGCCCTGGTTGAGGAAGGCCTCTTCTTACATATCCGTAATCATCAGAGTCCACGGTTTTCCTGGATTAAGGGACTGTTCTAAGTACAGATATGTGACTGTCATTAGTGGAAATTTTCAAGCATGGAGAAAATTGTTAATAATTTATGGAGATAAGGAAGAAACTTGGTAGAAAATATGGAAGGAAATCTGTTAAAAGCTATAACTGTCAATGGTGCCATGGAAATAAAATTATGCTCTTGGAACTGAACAGAAAGAGATGCAGGATAATACCACATGAGGAGAAGGACAAATGTCAGAGAACATTGGGTGTGCCTCCCAGTCAGGCTAATTCTGAGCTCTGAAACTTCTAACAAGTTACCTGTAGAGTCAGACTCAGAATAAGACCCATTTCATGGGGTTATTGTGAAGATGAATTTAGACAATATGAGTGAAAGTTTCAGACACACAGCAGGTATTCAGAGAGATAGGGTGACACAGAGCAGGTTTTAGTTTTTCACATGACCCTAAAAGCAGCAGCTCCAAAAGAAATGGAAATGGTTTCATTTTCTTTCTATGCTTCTTTTTTTTCCCCTACATTTTCTTCTCTTTGATGAGTTCTGCTTTAAGTCAATCCATTTTATAAATATATATTCTTGCAATTTAGAAAGTAACTTCTCTCTAGGGTATGTCTGAAAATTAATTATACTTGTATTGTTAGTATTGATATTAAATTATAAGTTATTTTATTAGTAATACTTATCTTTTGTAATTTAACTAAAATAATACTAACAACTTTTAAAATAAGTAATAAGGTAAAAAAAGCAGGCGTAGGCTTTTACTCTGTTTGTATAGTACTGATAGTCTATTTCTTTTTTATCTGACATGCCCAGTAGAGATTAATGTACACAATAAGAAAATATTCAATAAATGCTTGTTGACTTGAGTAGAAAAAATAATCCCCTTCTAAATCTGGCACTTTCTAATTCTGTTCTTACTTTTATCCCTGGTATCCAATAATACTGTTGAATCTAAACAACAACATCAACAACTTCAATTATATACAACAGTGGGGATAAGCCCAGACTCAAGCAAAAACCTTGAAGCAATAAGTTCCAAAAGTAATCATAACAGAATTATTATGGATACATAGAATATTTTTCATGCAGCTATTTTCCATTTGTATTTCTTATGTCAGTTACCTTTTTATAGGACACATAGTCTTAGGAAGAGTTTTATTATTTTGTCATGATTCATAAAAATCATATTCCTTTCCAACCAAACTAAACTATTTATAATAACTAAACTATTTATAATAAGCATTCTTTCTAGAAGCTAACTCTACTAGATTCTCTATTATCTGTTTAGATTCAACAGTATTAGATTCAACAGATTCAACAGCATTATTCTAATACTGTTTAGATTCAATAGTATTATTGGATACCAGGGATAAAAATAAGAACAGAATTAGAAAGCACCAGATTTAGAAGGGGATTATTTTTTCTACTCAAGTCAACAAGAATTTATTGAATATTTCCTTATGGACATTTTCCTTTTGTTCACTTTTTTTAAGCTGTAAAAATGAATATAATTGTTATTATGATTATGGAATAGTAATTAGAAGTGTTTAGCACAGCCCTGAGTGCACTCTCCTCTCTAAGATATGTGCATATACTCTCTCTCAATATGTGTGTGTGTATATGTGTGTGTGTATATATATTAAATTATATACATATATGTGTGTATATATAATTTTATACATATATGTTTATATATGTGTGTTATGTATTTATAAAGGTCTCTGTCCATATATATGTGTGTGTGTATATATATACACGTACATATATATGTGTACGTGTATATATATATGCTATCTAAACTAGCAACAATCTAGCTGGCTCCCAACCTTAACAGAGGGCTGTGTAACACCAATCATCAGAAAACTGTCATGGGTATTGGAAATAAGTGATTCATTATAGGGAGCCTTTGAGATCCAGATATCTAAAAAATGAAAAAGAAGGAGAGTAAGAAGGAAAACTAGGAGACAGAACACAAAAGAGGAGAGGGAAAGCAAGAAATAGAAAGAATGTAAATCTATTTTCCAGCTTCACAGAATTACATTTTTAAAGGAATTAATAGCAAAAATGAGTAGGTTAGAGACCAAATTCCTACAACTTGTTGGTAAGGAATCTGTTTAGTTTGTATATGCCATTTATCTTGGCATTGTGAAAGAAACTCTGCCAATGATGATTGGGGAAACATAATGTATTTCAAAAAACATAGCTTCTTCATCTAAGGTAAATGAGACTGATTGGAAATAGTTTCCTCTGGTGATGTTGGAAAATGGAGGGAATTATCAAATTCTGAAAATGTGTAGCCAGAGTCTTGGGTCCCGGGGGCCTTCTCCTTTGTAACACTAAAATCTGTTTTTAAAGCAACTTGTTGCACAGCCCTCTCCCAGTCTTCACCACAGACTTTGCTTCATTTTAGTCCCTGCAGAGATTTCCAGACTTCAGCTTCTCAAAAATCATCTTCTTTTGAACTAGAAATTTAATGCAAGACAGTGTATTCTACAGTCATAGATTATGTCTGGCAACATGGACTTCTGAACATATTTTAGAGTTCTATATTGAAGATTAGACCTCAGGAGTCACAATAGCTGTGGTATGCCTCAGGTTTTGCGTAATTTCCTACAGGCTACACAAGCTTTGAGTTTCATGATCAGAGAACATTTCTTCCTAATCCCCATTATTTTTCCTTATGCCTAAAACATTTATTCTTTCACAGATGGTTAACCACCTTCTCCTTGACCGGTTTATCTGCTCTTATACTTAATTAGCTATTTTCATTGATGAAAAAGGTTTCGCCATTTTGTCAAGACTAGTAGTAGGATCTCTTTATTTATTCATTAACGAAACTATTATTGACCTTCAAATAATGTCCTAATATTTTCCAGTATTTCAAATGTATATTTAGGCACTATTTTTCTACCATATAGTCCCTAAAAAATAATATGTGCTTTTCAAAAATAATATTGTTGGCCAAGCACAGTGGCTCATGCCTGTAATTCAAGCACGTTGGGAGGCCAAAATGGGTTAATCAGCTGAGGTCAGGAGTTCAAGACCAGCCTGACCAATATGGTGAAACCCCATCTCTACTAAAAAATACAAAAATTAGCTAGGCATAGTGGTGGGCACCTGTAATCCCAGTTACTCAGGAGGCTGAGGCAGGAGAATCACTTGAACCCAGGGGGTGGAGGTTGCAAAGAGCCAAGATCATGCTATTGCACTCCAGCCTGGGCAACAGAGCAAGACTGTGTTACAAAAAAAAAAAAAGAAAGAAAGAAAGAAAGAAAAGAAAAGAATATTATTTCACCTCAGGTTCACAGTATTGAATGGATCATAATCCTTGATTCACATCATAATCTCTTTCATGCCAGTTATGTATGTGTTTATCCATTAATGAAATTACACCTATGAAAACACGATGCAATACAAGAACCGAACAATTTATAAAGCATCCATATGCTTATGTGCTCATCTTCACAACTCCCTTGCCTCCCCTCACCTGAGGTTACTTAGAACATCTTACATTTTCTTTTTTATTTCATACACACATTTTCACTTACACAAGTTCTTGCAAAGCACACTGTTGGTGTTTTATTGCTTTTCACCTCATAAAAACTATGCTGAATTGATCCATTTTGGACTTTTCCTTCATTATATTTTACTAAGATTTTTCTATATGATTTTATATAGTTGTACTTCATTTATTATGGTTCAGAATAATATCCCATTGTTTTGTCAATGGGCATTATAAATTTATCTTTGTATGCATATGCAAGAGTTTATCTTAGGTTGTAAATGTAATTGAAATCACTGGGCCATAGAATGTGTGAATGTTAACTTTTGCAGGATAAGGGCAAACTGTTTTTCCATAATGATTATACTAGTATTCGGTTCCATCAGCGGTGTTTAAGAAATCCTCTTAACTAGGCTCACGTTGTAAGGACCTTCTGAGGCTATGTCACAAGCACATCCTTAACCTAGGCAAAATAAACTTTCTAAATTGAGATCTGTTCTCAGATACTTTTGGGTTCATACTAGTTATTACTGGAAACAGTGAAGAAGGCTTTAAAAATAAAACTTATCAAATTTAGATGAGATTAAATGAAAGCTCTAGAATAAAGTTGTGAACCCCAAAACTCTGAGACAGGTCTCAGTTAATTTAGAAAGAATGTCACTTTCTGACAGGCCCAGGAGTCCCAAGTTTCTCTTGGAACCTCAGAGAGGAATTCACCCAACTCATAGGTATTGATGGTACAAATCCATGGCTGGGCTTGGCTTTAAAAAAATTGTATCTGAGATTCCTTCTATGCAACAAAGTTCCATCAAAACCAATATAAAAGCCTATGTAAAAACAAATAATTATTCTTGCTGCACTCTATACAAATAATCAGGACAAGTATAGTAAAGCGAATCAGTTCTTTAAAAAAAAGAAACCCTCTAAATTCGCATAATGTTTATTCAGAAAATGTGATGCTCTGTCTTTTTTCAGATGACTTTAGAACAGACTGGACTAAATGGAAGAAGCAAATCAGTCTGTGGTGTTTGAATTCATCATTCTTGGGCTTTGTGATTCATGGGAGCTCCAGGACTTCCTCCTAGTGATATTTTCTTCACTTTATTTGATTACCATTTTAGGCAACATCTTCATTGTGATCATAATTATCACTAACCTCCATCTCCATTCCCCTATGTACTTCCTGTTAGCCAATCTCTCATTCATTGACTTCTGTCTTTCCTCAGTCACTACCCCTAAAATGATCACAGACTTTCTCAAGGAAAATAAGACCATTTCCTTTGGAGGGTGTATGTGTCAAATTTTCTTTGGACATTTCTTTGGAGGGGGCGAGATGGTACTGCTTGTGTCAATGGCCTATGACCGTTATGTGGCGATCTGCAAGCCACTCCATTACTCCAGCATCATGAACAGATATATGTGCATTGGGTTAGTGATGACATCATGGATTATTGGCTTTGTGCATTCAGCAAGTCAACTAGTTATGATTGCAAAGCTGCCCTTTTGTGGACCCAGGGAATTGGATAGCTTTTTCTGTGATATTCCATTGGTAATCAAGCTAGTCTGCATAGACACCTATATTCTAGAAATGTTGATAAATGCTAACAGTGGGGTACTGGCAACCATCTGCTTCATTCTGTTGCTGAGCTCTTACTCTCATATTCTGTTTATTGTCTGCCTTCACTCTAAGGGTGGAGCATCCAAGGCTCTCTCTACCTGCACTGCCCACATCACGGTGGTAGTGTTATTCTTTGGGCCTTGCATCTTCATTTATTTGTGGCCAGTCAGTATCCCCTGGGTGGACAAGTTTCTTGCTGTATTTTATGCAGTCATCACACCTCTCCTAAATCCAGCCATTTACACCCTAAGAAACAAAGAGATTAAAAATGCCATAAAGAGACTAGTATGTTAGCATTTAGATTGCAGTGGGTATTTCACTGTCTCACTCTAGAACGTTCACAGTAATGTCCCTAAATTAGTCACATCTGACCTGTTACTTTGAACTGTGAAACATTACCTAGTTCACAGATGTAGTCTCTATCTCCAGATGAAAGATCTGTGTCGATTCTACTCAATTCCACAATCATTTATTAATCATTCAATGCTAAATTATTTCCTGTCTGGGAAATCTGACCGGTCTTTATGACTATAATTTTGACTGTGCTCAGGATGACCTGAAATTAATTAATGACATTTATTACTCTTGGTGCTGCTACTTCCAACACCCACTACCATATGCTGAAATTTTCTATTATGCTACGCATTTCTTTGAGCAAAGGATGTCACATAAGTCTTCTCTTAATTTTTTTCAATAAGCCAGTGAATTATTGCTATCTTTATTTTTACAAATGGATAAATTAGTCTTTCAATTAATAATCCCTCTACCTAACTTACCTGAAGAGACACCTAGAAAGGTAATTGTTAAACATTCCCCATCACGCTCGGAATAAGACCGAATCAGTCATAATATAGAGAAAATGTTATTCCTTCAACTTCATGCCTTGGCCATTTGCAAAACTGTGTAATTGTCTTTAGGAGATATGCAATAAAAAGAAAGACGAGGCTGGGTGCGGTGGCTCATGCCCGTAATCCCAGCACTTTGGGAGGCTGAGGCAGATGGATCACGAGGTCAGGAGATCGAGACCATCCTGACTAACACGGTGAAAATACAAAAATTAGCTGGGCGTGGTGGCGGACACCTGTAGTCCCAGCTACTTGGGAGGCTGAGGCAGGAGAATGGTGTGAACCCGGGAGGCAGAGATTACAGTAAGCGGAGATCACGCCACTGCACTCCAGCCTGGGTGACAGAGTGAGACTCTATCTCTAAAAAAATAAATAAATAAATAAAAAGATGAGTGTACTAACAATCTTAGGGTATTACTTCTCTTTCTTTTAATAAACGTGTTGGGGGTTCATTATCTATACCAGATAAAATAAGGGACATTGTGTTATGTTCTAAAAATGACTAGGGACCCCAAAGACCTTCTGTTTAAGTAGGTTATGTCTGTTGAAATTTATCAGTTTAGAAATCTTAAAAAATTAAATGCTTATGTACTAATGCTTAAAAATAACACTAATAAGACATTGTTAGTTACCACAAATATCATATTTTAGGAAAAGTAACAATATGTTCAAAAATGTAATAAAGAAGAACAGAATGGTTTTACCTATTTGCAAATTCCTTTAGTATATGGCTGAATAGAAGCAGTTGAGTTCTCCTATCTGCTCTGCATTACATCTGTTGTAACATGTGCTTTCGTTAGAACTATATAAAGGCTATCTGGCCTGACAGAGATATGCAGTTGGATAAGAGAGGAGTGTTTTCATTTTCGTGCAAAAGCAATGGTGAATAAAACTACAGGTGAAATTCAGCACAAAGCAAGACAGTGGCATCCTGTACTAGATATTGTAGCAGTCCTCACTATCACATACTCACAGTAAAAAAGTAACAACTGTAATAACCTTTTAAAATTATGTCTGCAAATATGATAATGCCAGATGATATCATTGTTTGTTGTTGCTATTTTGGTTGTGGTTTAAATAGTCAATATAGTATGTTTCTCCTTTTAGATGATTTTCATTCCATATTTATCGTAATCTGGGAAAGTTTTTTCCAGCCTAGAAAAGCTTCCTAGATTTCTTCTCAGTTATTGTTTATCTGAAAGTGTCTTTATTTTTTCTTCATATTTGAAATATTTTTTTCATTGGATCTGGAATTCTAGTGCATTAATTATTTGAAATATTTTTTTCATTGGATCTGGAATTCTAGTGTGCTAATTTTTCTGAACACTTGAACTGGATAAAGAAAATGTGGTATATACACACCATGGAATCCTACTCAGCCATTAAAGGGAATGAAATCATGTCCTTTCAGTGACTGGATAGAGCTGGAGGCCATTATCCTAAGCAAACTACTCAGGAATAGAAAAACAAATGCTGCATGTTCTCATTTATGAGCGAGAGCTAAACATTGAGTGCACATGGACACAAAGAAGGGAACAACAAACCCCTCAGCTTACTCCAAGGTGGAGGGTGAAAGGAAGGAGAGGATCAAAAAACTACCTATCAGGTAGTATGCATATCACCTCAGTGACCAATTAATCTGTACACAAAATCCCCATGATGGGCAATTTACTTATGTAACAAACCTGCACCCCTGAACCTAAAATAAAAGTTAAAATAATAATAATAAAATGTTATTCCAATGCTTCTGGCTTTCACATTTTCTATTGAATAGTCATCAGTTTTATTGCTGTTCCTTTGAAGATACTAACTTCCTTTTTCTCGCTACCACAAATATGTTCTTTTTGTCTTTGGTTTCAGCAAAGTGACTACAATAAGCCTATGATATGGTTTTCATTGTATTCATCTCTCTTGTTCACTGCATTTCTTGAATCTATGAGTCCTACCTTTTATTTTTTAAATTAAAAGCACATTATGAACACTTTTCCATGGTATTATTTTTCTATATATAAGGCTGAATCCCTCTCCCAACTGGATGTGTAATGAATAATTTCTCTATTTTGGGGGATTTGGGTTATTTCTATTTTTAAAATAAATAATTGTAAAATATTTGCCCAATAGCTAAATATTTAACTCATTTATTGTTATTACCTTAAGAAATTTTTTTTGTAATTGTATTTTAGTCATATGGCAATTTTTAAGCATTTGATATATGTTTTGAAATTATAATCTGTAGAAGATTTATAATTTATACTATGAATTGCAAGGTACAATGGTGTCTATTTTCCTAAAGGCTTACCTATGACATATTATTCATTTATTTGAAATTTTTACAGTGTTTCACAAACATATAGCAACTCTATTTTTTATTTACATTTCTTTGATTACAGATGAGTTTTAATGTTCTTCATATATTTATTGACTATTTGGATTTCTTATTTTGTCATAAGTATGAGTGTGTATTTTAAATTTGGTATACATTTACATTTAACAATTATTTCCTATATTTATTTTTATTTAAATAATTTATACAAATGATTTAAATTTTTGAATCTTAAAGTGTCAGAAATTTTTTTTCTGCATTATTTGCACAGGGGATGATATACTTAGATTTTTCTCACTCAAAGACCTATTTGATGTGGTCCTTTGTTAGATTCTTAAGTGATCTCTCTCCCTTCCCTCTGAATTTACCTGCAATCACCATCTCCTTGACTGGAAGTCAATCTACACAAATCATTGTGAACATCTGTTGACACAAGTGTACAACACTTGGGTAAGAGACAAACTTTTTACAACCTCCACTACCACCATCACCCATGCCACCCCAGCTACCCAGGAGGCAGTGAGCCCACACAGCAGCCCAAAACACCACTAATACAACCAGCATTTAAGAAAGACACCACACTGAGACTGTTTATAACCAAGGAAATCGTACAGAGACTTCACTGCTGAACACACCCAAGAAGCAAAGCCAAACAGTCTTACTCAATATACATCATAGTCATATCCTTAAGAGGATAACTTCACATATCAATATTAAACATGAATGTAAATGAATTAAATGCTCCACTTAAAATATATAGATTGGCAGAATGGATTTTAAAAATCAATCCAACTATACATTGTTTATCAGAAACTCACCTTAGTTGTAAAGACATTTATACACTGAAGGTAAAGGGTTAAATATCTTTTTCCAAAGATACTCCACATGATGGAAGACTTCCCAAAAAAAAAAAAAAAAACTCTTAGATTCAATAAATGAATTCAGTAAAACTGATACAGTTTTTACTGAAATGAATTCAGTAAAACAGGATACAATATCAATGTACAAAGATCATTAGCATTTTTACACCAAAAACAATCAAGGCAAGAACCAAATCAAGAAGGCAATTTCATTTACAAAAAATATTTAATAAAATACCTAGAAATATATTTAACCAATGAGGTGAAAGATCTCTACAAGGAAAACTAAAAACCCTGATGAAAGAAATAGTAGACAATACAAATAAATGAAAAAAAAATCCTATGCTCATGGATTGAAAGAATCAATATCATAAAAATAACCATACTGTCCAAAATAATCTACAAATCCAACACAATTCCCATCAAAATACCAATGTCACTTTTCATATAATTAGAACAAACAATCCTAAAATTCATATGGAACCAAAAATGAGCTGAAATAGCCAAAGCAATCTTAGCAAAAAGAACAAAGCTGGAGGCATTACATTACTTGACCTGAAATTATACTACCAGGCTATAGTACCTAGAAAAATATGATACTAGTATTAAAACAGACACATAGACCAATGGAACAGAATAGATAACACAGAAATAAAGTCACATATCTACAGTTGGCTGACCTTTGACACAGTCAACAAAAACATACCCTGGGGAAAGGACACTCTCATGATGAAATGGTGCTGGGAAAATTGGACTGCCCAATGCAGAAAAATGAAAACTGCATCCCTATATCTCATTGTACACAAAAATCAACTCGAGATGGATTAAAGACTTAAATGTAAGATCTGAAACTATTAAAATACTAGAATAAATTCTATGGAAAACTCTTCTGGACATTGGTATAGTCAAAGCATTCATGACCAAGACCTCAAAAGCACAAGCAATAAAACCAAAAATAGAAAAATTTGACTTAAGTACTCAACATAGTACTTAACTAAGATTTACTAAATTCATGTATCAAATCTAAGACTTGTTGATACTACAATAGTAGATACATATCATAACACATTTTTCCAAACCCATAGAATGTACCAAGGTGAACCCTAATGTAAACTATGGACTTGGGGTGATGATAATGTGTCAATGTGGGTTCATCAATTGTAAGAAACATACCACTCTAGCAGGGGATGTTAATGGGGGACGCTATGCCCATGTGAGATATATGGGGTATATATGTACCTTCCTCTCCATTTTGCTGTAAACCTA